ATTCCAAATTGAAAATTTGGGATGTTACACGTCGCCTCGTCCTGCTTCCTGTACTCTCAGACGGTCCACACATACGTCCCGTCGCCGCCCCGACAGGTTGCCTCTCTCCCTCCCTCTCGCTCTCTCCCCCTCCCTCGCTCCCTCCATCCCTTTCTCCCTCTCTTAGTTGATCTGAATTCTGAATTCTGACCTGTGTATCAAAAACCCTAGGGCATGGAGATTATGGTGAAAGAGGAGAACTAGTGGGCAGCTTCACAAGTACGAGTAGATCGTATTGTTTGCGGAGATGGAGCCAGGGGGTGCAACTCCAGAACGGTTAGAGATAGAGGGCGCAGCTCCGGAACGGTTAGTCGATCAACCTAAGTTTTTGAATTGAAGGATTCCGTGAATTGTTTACTGCATATTGAGGAATATATACTTAGGCCTACTCATTGTTTCTATTTGAAAAACATGTAATTTTGTAGGGAAGAAGGTGTGGAGTTGCGCGTTGTCATTTATAAACTGATTGTTAGAGTTCTTCGATTTGTCGCAAAGCTTGACGATGGCAGCGAGCATCAAGTTTCCCAGCATGATGTGGAATTTGAGGTTAACATGAAACGTTTTACTGTTGAAAAACTGATAGAACTCATTGGGTCCAAAGTTGTTTGGGGGAGTGGGCAGGAGGTCCATATTTTGTGCAAGGACAAGCATTTTGAATCAGTTGAGAGGATTGATAACTACTGGAAATTGCTCACATCATTTCTTGAGAGATGGGAAGAGAAAGAATTGCTTGTGCTAGCTCAAGTTGTGGACATTGCAGAGGGGGTTACAGCATCATCTTGTTCAGAAAATATCCCATCTAGTGAGATAGTAGACAACATCATTTGTTCAAGTTCTGACATTTACCAGTCAAATGCTAGTAGTGCATCATGTGTTGATGATTCTACAAATTGTAATGTGCTTCGTAATAATGAGAGATATGTGCAATCTGATGGTGGTGTTGTCATTGATTGGTCAACTCTTGAGATAACTCCTATTGGTGATGATATAATAGCTCCTATGTCACAGGAAAACATGTGTGAGGTACTTGGAATTGAGGATGAGGTTGAGGATGCTCAACCAGTAAAGGATCCAGCTCCAGTTGTTGTGTGACATGCTAATGAGGAGTTAATGGCTGAGGGAGCTATACCAGTTGATGACCAAGTTCCTGAAGATGTAGAAATGTCATATGACAAAGATCATCCTAAAGTTGAGAAAGGTTCAATCTTTCCAACGATGATCGATTGTAGGAGAGCTGTGAGGCAATGGGCAATTAATGAAGAATTCAACCTTGGGACTCACAGAGCTGACAAGAGTAGGTGGATGGCACATTGTATGGCTGAGGATTGTCCATGCAAAAAAACATGTCGTATTATGGCTGACAAGACAAAGACCAGGGTACTAACATAGCTTAATATTTCACCTTTTTCTATTATTTCTATTATGGTAGCATCATATTATTTGAGGAACACTAACAACTTTGTTATGTATGCAGGTTAACCAGATCGGACCAGCACACACATGTGTTTCAAGTAGCAGGTAAATTCAGCAATGGCCTCGCAAGATTGGGTTTAAGAAAGGTCTAAGAAGATCTTGAGGAAAACTCCGAACATTGGCTGCAAGGATTTACAGGAAACGCTGGAGGAAGACTGGAATGTAACCACTGGCTATCACACTGTATGGAAGGGAAGAGAGAGAGCAAAGGATGAGATCTATGGTTCTTGGGGTAGTAGCTTCCGTTACCTATTCAACTTCAAAGCAGAGATGGAACTTAGATCCCCTGGAAGCATTGCTGAGGTCGATACTAAACTAACGGACAGTAAAGTTTACTTTCACAGATTCTTTATGGAAATTAAGCCTTGTGTAGATGGATTTCATGCTGGATGTAGGCCTTATCTTAGCATAGACTCGACTGCATTGAATGGAAACTGGAATGGTCATTTAGCTGCATGCACTGCTTTAGATGGACATAATTGGATGTTCCCTCTTGCATTTGGTTTTATTGAGGTTGAAGATGAAGATAATTGGAAATGGTTCATGACACAGTTGCATAGAGCACTAGGACCAATTTCAAAGCTTGCTATATGTACTGATGCATGTAAAGGCCTAGAAAATGATGTTAAGAAAGTTTTTCCTCAAGCAGAACAGAGGGAGTGTTTTAGGCATTTAATGCAGAATTTTTCGAAAAGATATAATGGTGACATAATTGGACGCATGTGGGCTGCAAGAAAGACACATAGACCATCATTGTTTGACTACCACTTTTCCAAGGTTCTAGAATCTAGCCAAACTGTGGGCAAGTACTTGCAAGATTACCATAATCTGAAGTGGATGAGGTCTAGTTTTGACACTGAGATCAAGTGTGATTACATTCATAACAACCTTGCAGAGACCTTCAACAATTGGATAAAAGGAACCAAAGATCTTCCCGTAGATGTGTTAGCTGACACACTTAATGGGAAGATAATGAAGTTGGTTGCAACAAGGAGAAAGATTAGGGAGAAGCTACAAGGACGGATGTTACCAGCAGTTGTACAACAAGTGAATAATAGAACAAGAGGGCTTGGGCACTTGAAAGTTACCCGATCAAGTAATTGGAAAGGTGAGGTGAGGGACATCAACAAAGACAATTTGAGGCATGTGGTTAACATAGAGAAAAGTGAGTGGACATGCCTTGAGTGGCAGCACACAGGTAAACCGTGTGAACATGCACTTGCTTTCTTGATTGGGAAAAGGAACATGAAGATGGAAGATTATCTTCATGAGTACTACTCTCTAGAAAGGTTTAGGGCAGCATATAAGGAGGTTGTAGAGCCCCTCACAAATCGATCACAATGGCCTAATGTTAAATTAGATTTTGTATTGCATGCACCACTCCCCAAAAGTTCCAAGGGAAGAAAAAGAAAGTTGAGATTTAAAAGTTGCCTTGAAAAGGGAGGAGGACATTATAAAAAGAAACCACCACCAAAAGGTCAATTAGGAAGCCAAAACAGGTGCAAGAAGTGTAAGCAACTTGGACACAGGCAAGCTGGATGCCCAACTAATGGAGTGAAGAAAAGGTCATTTATATTGATTTAGATTTTCTTAACTCATATTTTCTCTTGTAATGCTCGAGTTTGTAACAATATTTGGATTTCTTGACAGGAAACCGAAACCTAGAAAGATAAAACCAAACACCGAAATTGATGTTGAATGTACAATCCCAGGAGACGCTCTCCAACAAGTCAGCCCATGTCATGTTACAAGGAGGTAAGAAATAAAGCTTCCCTCCAATTTCTCAACTGGGCATGGCATATTTTTTTCTCAAACTACATATTGTGCAGCCAATCATCTCTTTGTAGCCCTCTTGGAGGGATGTCTCCATTGCCTGTCTCACAAACGAGCCCTCGCCCTATGACTATGAGGTATTTTTTTGGCCTTATATTCAGTATCTCTACAAATGTGGCATGTTTTTATCTTAAACAATGTTTTTTTGTGTAGTCAATCATCTCCCCGTAGCCCTCTTGGAGGGATGTCTCCATTGGGTGTCCCACAAGCTAGCCCTCAACCTATGACGCGGAGGTAAATTTTTTCCAGCCTATCTTCAATATCTCTACAATTGTGGCATGTTTTTATCTTACACAATACTTTTTTGTGTAGTCAATCATCTCTTCGCAGCCCTTTTGGAGGTACATCTTCAGTGGCTGTCCTACAAGGCAGCCCTCTTCCAATCACAAGGAGGTGAAAACAAATCTGATTTATTTCTTGAATTGTGTATAACATTGGTCTTATTTTTTTAATGCATGAAATTGATGTATTGTGTAGGCAACTTTCTATGGAAACTGGGACTCCCGCTTCTCCACCAAAAGTAGTTGTGAAGGCCACAAAAAGCTCACGCCGAGGAAGAGAAAAAGAGTGTAGCATGCCATTTTGTAATCTTGTTATGTGTAGTGATCTGCACGAAGTTAATGCCACTTCTTTAAGAAGTCGATGCTTTTCGATTAAATTCCTGTCTTCAATGTTTGTGATTTTGTCAGTGTGTGTACTCAGATGATTATTCACTTAAAAGCTTGATGCAACTTTTCAGATATATTAATTCTGGATTGTCATATATATATATTCTTGTGATATGTGTGGTACATATATATAGAGAGGTCATGTCAAAATTTCAGGTGAAAATGCTGTAGAAATTTTGATTATATCCCTATCAACAGAACTATATATCACCACATGTTACACCCCAATCTGAATTTTGATTACATCCATATGGACAAGCATCCATATCTGTTTGCAACAGTTGGTACAGCCATCAGGTAACAAATTTATTAGTGTGTGTTACTAGTATTTGAGCCATATGCTAATAAAGCTAGCAATCAGAGCAACGAGTAGCTTGCAACTGATGGAGCAGCCAGCATGTACAACGAGAACTTCTCCAGCCAGCCAGTACTGCAACGAGCAGCTAAGTCTGGACGGGGCATGCGCTGCATAGGTACGGGCGACAAGTGGGAAGGAGGAACGGCAAGGTGGTGGTGCAGGAAAGGAGGCACGGCGAGACGGCGGCTCGCTGGCAAGCTGGCACAGCGAGGCGGCGGCGACGGGAGTAGGCACGACGAGGCGGCGCCGTGCTTCGTTCTGTGATCACCTCGTATGACCAGGAAATGAGCTGAGGGCAAATTCGTCCTAATATATATGACGTGAGTGCCTAATGGTGCAAAAGAAGGAAAAAAAACTATTTGTAGTATTTTGTCCAGCTACTACTCAAAAATGTGGTATATAATCTAATAAAAAGAAAGGTGTGGTAAAGGGGCAAAGTTCCAGGAAAGATGTGGCATTTCCTCAAATTGCCCCTATGTCTAAGGTGGTAGAACTCTCCACGACTTCGTCTTTTTGTCTTGTACGTCAAGCCTTGTAGAATAGTCTTCTTGTCTTGTACGTCAAGCCTTGCAGAATCACTATATATTTCTCCTAAGCGGGGACATCATCAATAACCCATGAACCAATCTTCAAACCGCAGCACCTCGGTCCTTCCGAGCTGCTTCATCGTCTTCAGTCGCCCGTCTTGAAACTAGTTTAACAATAGTCTCCCGATTAGTGTCGTCATCCAGCTGACCTCCACTTGTCGAGGTGCCTTCCAAGGTGAATTGAACCACAACGGCTTTAGAATTGTCTAAGAGAGAGAACTGAACTACGTGCCCGAAGAGTTTTCCCGTGTGGCCCGTCACGGGGCAGGACAAGTTTCCACATAGCGTCTCAAAAGTCCTCCTGCATGGCTCTGACGAGTGAGGACGGTCTTATCCACGGGCCCACACGGCCACGTGCTAGCTTTGACCTGACGGTCAATGTAACATACCTCCAAAGCCACGTCCTATCGAGAGGGGGTGTGCGAGGGCGAGGCGATGCGAGAGATAACTTTGGCTCTCATTTCCCCCGCACTCACCTTCTTGCTCACCCAAAGCTCCAAGTGCTCCATTGTCGCGCCGCAAGCTTTTCTCCTTCTACGCGCCGCAACTTTCCACCGTAGCCAAAGTGATGGCTAGCGAGCGACGCCTGAGGAAGGCAGGTCAGCTCGTCGATATGGGCATCCAACACCCAAGGTGGCATCCACAACTAATGGAAAGTGCACCGCCGGATACTTGCCGCTGCCAGAGACCGCCTTCCCACGCCCCGGGCTCACCACGGTCGACGATGTCATCGTGCAGGAGACCATCCCCTATCCCAAGGAGAACGAACATGTATGCTTCCTGCCCTTTCGGATCCGTGGTTTGGGGTTTCCGGCAGTTACTGTTGGTTACCAAAAAAATCTCTAGCAGAGTTAATGTAAGTTACCAAAATGTTACAAAAATCTCTAGTAGTGCATACCTACAACTGGAAAGATCTGTTGCTTTTTTTTCCTGCCAGAAAACTCGTTTGCTCAAAATCCAGGTGCTATTTTTGAGCCAGAAAATTAGATTACTCAAAAGTTTCGGAGGGGGCTGTTTTTGTGACAGAAAACCTGATTATGGATGAAGGCAAAAGATCCATGCAACAATTATGTAGGCTTATCAGGGGCACCAAGCACAAACTAAGGCATAAGATAAACAGAAGAAGAAACTACTACATAACATCAGATGCCACTTGCCAGTAACTGCATCCTGGCATTGGAAGTAACTGCCAGAAAAAACAAATGTACGGGTACAAACTAAAAGAATGGATCATGTCGACAAAACTTGTGGTCAGCTCAACCTGTGCCACTTGCAAATGTTTTGCTAGTTTCGTTCGCCCTCATTGAAATAGGAAGTCCCGCAACCGTGTTGCTCACCACAAACCAATCATCTTCCACCAGAAGCCTCCGGCACCAAGCCAGATAATGATGTTAACAACGGAGATGACAAATCCGTAGCCCCACCACTCAGCAAGCGGAACATAGCCAGCTCCATAGAAGACGGGGGCTGACCCTATGCCATAATGGGTCAGGCCACCCATGAGGTTTGAAAGGAATGACATAACCATGGCAGCGAAAAGCGGAGGGGTGCCCAAGGCACTCGCCACAGACAGGAACGCAGTGAACATTGCACCGATGTGTGCAGCACCACTAGCAAAGAAGTAGTGGGAGTAGAAGTACATCAGCACCAAGACACCGAATGAGAGTTGCCAGGACAGACCAAGACCTCCAACAAACTGAGAGGAAAACAGATCAAGATATCAGAAAATGAAAATATTGAAAGCACTTTCCATCTAACTATGTTGATGTTACTCGACTCGCAAAAATATTGGAATATCAGGTCTGGAATGATAAAGCCATCATATTTCAATTCACCAACAAACTAATGAGCCCTCATGTGATATGTCTTACTTCCTTCAGATGTACTCCCTCCGTTCCGAATTACTTGTCTTGGATTTGTCTAGATACGGAGGTATCTAGCACTAAAATGAGTCTAGATACATCCGTATCTAGACAAATCCAAGACAAGTAATTCGGAACGGAGGGAGTATATAACCAGGAAATAAATTTCTAGTTCAGATCTAACAATCTAACCCAGCATATCAGCGGTAGGGTGCAGACATACGAGTAAAAGAACTTTTTGCAACGGATACCAGCAACATTAAAAGAATAAAGTTCAGTGAGGTGCCAGCATATAGAAAATTTCGTGCTGTCAAAATGCTAATAACGTGGCATAGTACAGCAACGCACATCCATCATGCTCAAAGCCTATAATTAGTAAGCAAGAATAACTAAATAGGAGCCAATATCATTTCAAGAGGAAACTGAGGGAAATAGAATGGAGCCATACCTTAACAACAGTCTCGCTGAACCAAGAAATCAACCCATATTTGTTGAGGTAGCCAGCCATCGCAATCAGCGCAGCAAACCAAGTAAGGGTATCCCATGCTACAGACTCTGCCAAACACTCTTTCCATGTGACAACTCCTGTAATTAGGAGGACAGATAGGCCAAGAATCGCTGCAGACACTGCATCTACACTCAGCATTCCTCCAAAGATCCAAAGTCCAACCTGGTGGCATGGACAGTACAATGTTTCAGTAGGAAAAAGTTTTCCAGATTACATTCAAGCAAGATGCAGACAGGTGGATGTACGAACAGCCATGTTTCAACAAGGTTACCCAACTTTATGCAAAATAAGGCACTCAATAAGTAACAGTGATTTAAGCCATAAATTGTGCAATGCTCTAAATATGAACAAAAACACAACCGAAAACAACAAAACAGAACCCTACGGTATTTCAGACTGTCTACTGAAAAATTTCAACTGTGTAATTCTCGAGGTGCCCCCTGTAGTTAAATGGCTCAATCCATCAGTCACTAAACAACACTTGAACACATTTTAGATAAATTCCAGTCAACATACATCCTTATGTCTCTCTCTATCTACCTCAAACCTTCCCCCGTCTTCACCAGTAACCCACCATGCACCACCTCCTCCACTTCCCAAGCGCCATCGCTGCCACCAGATCTGTGTCAATCTCCCCCGCTTCCTAACCCTATCACCTCGCTGCCATATGCCAACTCCTCTTGGTCGACCAGCCCTCTGACAATGGCTGTCTTCCCTGCTCATGTCGTCACTGCTTCGCTGCACCGTCCTCACACACTGCTGCCACACCCACCAACCTTCCCTCTAAGCCCAGGGAGCACAACAAACCCCAGGCCCCTGCAACCCTAAACCCTAAGCCAATGAGGTAAAGGGGAGGTCTCTGGCGAGGTCCATCATCACGGGAGGAAGAAGCTGAGGATGGAACAGAAGCAAGACCCATGTCGACTGCATTAAAGAATACTCCAGGCAACTGGGCTCTTGCAGTTTGGTTTAAATCAAGAGTCCAGTCTCTTAGGCACTCCTAATCTAGACAAGGCCACCATGTTGTCATGGAAATCTCTATTTCTAAACGGCTCTTTCAACTCCTCAAATACTAGAGGATCAAGTCCTAACACTGGATGACAGTGGCATACAAATAGCACTGAGCACAAGAGAGTATAGAAGTTACCTCATCACAATAATAAGAGCAATTGCGAACTAATTAGGCATGGTTCAAACGAAACAGTTGCAAAAAAAGATAGGAGGTACAGGTGGCATCATACCGTGAGCAGAAGCGTGCCGGCCATGATCTTCTCCTCCGTGCTCATGGGTCCCATCTTTGCCAGCCTCTCCTTGGCCAAGCGTGGTGCATCAGGGCTGGTCTTCACCTCCGGTGGGTAGATGACATAGAGGACCAGCGGCACAATCAGCAGCGACAGCAGCCCTGGCACAATGGCCGCCTTTGCCCACAGCGTCCACCCGATCCCCTGCCCGATGGTGCTGAGCGTCAGGTTGGCAGCAAGCGGATTGGCCGCCATCGCCGTGAGGAACATCGCTGACGAAACGACCGACGTCTGGAAGCATGTGAGCATGAGCCAGGCGCCGAGCTTTCGCTCTGTGCCGTCGTCAGTGCGCGATCCACACGCCTCGCAGAGGGATTTCACGAGCGGGAGGAAGATGCCACCAGCCCGCGCGGAGACCGAGGGGATTGCAGGCGCGAGGAACGCCTCGGCAAAGACGAGCGAGTAACCGAGGCCGAGCGTGGAGCCCCCGAATGCTTTAACGAATTGGTAGGCGACGCGGTTCCCGAGCCCCGTCTTGATGAAGCCCCGAGCGAAGAAGAAGGCGAGCGCGATGAGCCAGGGGATGGGGTCCCCGAAGGCCGAGAAGGCGGCGGCGAAGGTGAGGGTGCGGGTGAGCACGGCGGCGCCCAAGCCAAGCAGCGCGACGGCGCCCAGCGGCAGCGGCTGCGTGATGATCCCGACGATGGTGGCGAGGAACACGGCGAGCAGCTGCCACGCGTTGCGGGCCACGCCGGCGGGGGCAGGGATGAACCAGATGATGACCCCCGTGGCAATGGAGGCCAGCAGCGGCTTGATGGCCGCGCCCTGCAGGGCTGGCTTCGCCGGCGGCGAGACCGGCGCGGGGGGAGATGCCGGCGCCGCGGCGACGGGCGGGAGGAGGTGGCGAGCTGTGGACGGGGTCAGGGGCTTGGGGAGGGAGTGGGAGTGGG